CTTCCCATACCAAAACTCCCGAACCGAACATATATACTAATCTATTATAAAAATAATAATCTTTTTATATTTCTTCATTAAATAAAAAATTTATATAGACAATTTAGTTTAATTTCATTATGTGTAAGTTGCACTTTGATAAGAGTTTTTTTATTTTTTGTAGATAAGTATAAGATCATTAACAAACATTTGAAATAATACTTTGTTATCACTTGTTCTATTTAGTTTGTGAAGTATAAACTAACTTTCATAAGCATTTCTTGCATTTTATTTTTTCATTTTTAAATTTTTTATCTTTCTTTCGTTAAATGTACTTTTGGTTTTTCAAATATAAAGGTTTTGTTACATTTTATGGTGTAAACTAGGTACGTATATATTCATCCCGATTTGTACCGAAACCGATACGGAACCATATCGAAACGATGCTTCGGGATCGGGATCGGTACAACATAAAATCCCATACCGAACCGAAATATTTGGTATGGTATTGGTACGAGCTAAATACCGTAGCATACCGTACCACGCTCACCCCTAGGTACTGGAGTAGGGAGTTCCCGAACCAGTATTAAATCGGTGTTCTTTTACTTAACGCTTTTATTTCTGCGTTTTACTTATTGCTTCCGCATTTGCCAACACCGTTTTTATCAAACTCCGAAAAGTTTTTTAAACGCCTTATTCACCCCCCATCTAAGGCGTGGGCACAACGTCTAAACCGACTAATAGTTATCCTCTGGTCAGATATGGATTTCTCATGTCTGATGAAGGTGACGACTTGTTGGTAGATCAAGACGAACCAGAGACCTATCTCGAGGCAATTACAGGCCCCGAATCCGATCTATGGCTCGAAGCCATGAAATCTGAAATGGAGTCTACGTACACAAACCAAGTCTGGACCTTAGTTGATGCGCCCGAAGGGGTAAAACCCATTGGATGCAAGTGGGTCCTCAAAAAGAAGATAGACGTAAATGGGAAGATTCATACATGTTGAATATAAGTGAGCCCTAGAAGCCAACTTATGATTCCATATCTATATTATATCAAGAATAATATGCTCTAAAGATTTTTTAAGTCGTCTCGTATAATTTAAACATAGCTTTAGTCCATAGAGTAGGCGCTCTAGTAACATAGATGAGAACTACGATATTCTGATTATGAGGCTGTTACAAAAATAGAGGCTACGTCTAAAATATTCTTAGTCGAATATTATGACAATATAGACATCATAATATATCAAGACTAATACGTCTGAGGTGAGATAGCTGCGTCTCATAGGCTATAGATAAAGTGTTATCTAAATCTATACGTAGGCAAACATATTGGATATGTTGCTAGATTGACCCGCTATGAGAATAATATATGGATTTAAAATAAAGTGTTAATATTATTCTTATGCGACCATTAGTATAACTATCCTTCGACTTGAAGTCATTACGATCTCTGATAAGCTGAGTTGCATACTTTAAAGCATGATTTATGCCACCTGAAATATTGGTGGATGTACAATTATGCTTAGGGTATGCAATGAAACTTAAGTAGGGATGTGAATGACGTAAATAGAATTTATCCCTTCTTTAATGAAGTATAATATCTAAGGACCCACTAATTGATGTGACTTGGGAAGTCATGGCCATGCCCAAATAAATATGTTATTTGAATCACATAAGTCAATCAAAGAATCAGTAAACCATCGATTTAACTCTAACAAGATGACACACCCCATACCTTGTATTAAACCAAGATATTAGTGATAAAGGGATAAGGGTTATGCTCCTTATAAATAGG